AAGAAGAAGAAGAAGAAGAGCCCGGATTTCAATATTGAAATACTTGGAATAAGTATCAAGACGTGTAGAGCGTGATAGACCTGTACAGGAAGTGCATGTTCTATTATATGTTCCGATCATAAAAAAGATGCGGTCGATAAACAAGAAGCCTTTTCGAGCTTGACTTGTTCACATATACTTCATCGAAAATTATTCTCACTGTCAAAATTTGGAGAGACTGTTTTTGTAATTTAGGAGAAAAACCTTTTGAACGTTGCCTTTTTCACATAAACACACTGTTCAACTTAAAATAACCAGTTGTTGTTCTTTTTGTATTAACGTTTCTTTGAAGATTTACACTCAATGTGACTTTTAGGTTTCTGAAAATTAATTGTTAATCAAATAGAGAGAAAGTTAAAACCTCATCCTTACATTTCTTACACTTACACTTACATTTCTTATTTGTTAATGCATGGAAAGGAGATCATATGGTTTATGATGTTTGTCATCAAGAAAATTTATCAATATATTTATTTTTATTTCTTGTCATCTATGAAATGACGTTTTGTGTTAATCCTTTGTCCGTCGTCTGTTTGTGTGCAAAAAACGGCCCCTGATCTGTTATTGGGTGATGAAAGGAATGCAGAATGACCCCTCGTATAAGACAAGGTTGGATGTCAAATTAAATTAAATCGATTCCATACAAAACTAAATTGTATCATAGTTTGGAGACCTTTTTATTAGAAAATGTGACAGAGTTAAATCGTCACACAATTTAAATGTACAGTGCATTCCTTAAGTTACATGCTCTCCAGTGTCCGCGCTGTCTGTACAGGGTAATTTGATTGGCTACAGCATTTCTGGGGTTTACTTACTGTAACAACAGGGAGAGGGATAATGATAGAAAGGTTATATTCAGATGCTCGTACATTGTTCCACCTTTTCTGGGGTTTCATATTGTGACGACAGGGAAAGTATTTTTATTTTTGACAACAAAAGACATGCAGTCTGAATTAAACTCTTGGGCTACGCCTTTGTACAAGTAGCCTCGTCATCCACGTTGCGTTGGCAACCATTTAACCGACTGTATTTATAAGACACACCTTAACGCAGTCGCAAAAGAAAGAAAAAACTCCAATTACAAGGTAAAGTGAACATTTGTTTTAGTTCTATTTTTCCTAAATGTAAAATTATTTAATTTTTGCTATTTTGTAATATCTTTTTTAGTCTTTTGTACATTAATGATTTTATACTTAAATTAACTACGATTTACTCAACATTTTATTCAAATTTGAAATTTTCTTTTGAGAAATAAATTCATACAATTGTTGATTTTTTTAATGACGATTCAGTTAAACATGTGCATGTATTAGCTCGGTTTTTTAAACATCGTGTTTTGTGTGTGATTTTGTCATACATACAATAATGATAATATTTTTGATACAACGCGTTGCTATTGTAATATTTCAGCCGGGTATTTTGAATTTCCATTGTTAGTCATTTGTCTTTGAAGTATCTTTTACGCCACCACGGAAATAATGACAAATAAGACACCAAAAATTTAGTAATCCACGACTACTTTGTTTAAATATTGAATCCATATGGAAAAAATTTTAATGTAGTCTAAGATATTCTGCACCTTCAATTATTATTTATTTTTCAGAAATACAATTGTCTTTCAGAAATGTTGCTAGTTGATAATCACTCGACTTATTTTTATTATTATCTAATATCCTATTCCTCAAAAAAAATAATAGAGTATAACATTTTTGTTAGTTCTCAAGTATAATTTTTTTTTGGAAAATGCACAAATGTTTGTCTTCATTTCAAAGTGCAGCTCAATTACACCAAATGCTATCATTTAACATGCAGATGTCATTTCTTCGTGGTGTAGATGGAGGGGGAGAGAGCCCAGGACTCCTTCTTTTACAGCACCCAGCCGAAAACTTCTTGAACACATTTTCGTCTCTTTGTTTACGTTTGCTATATTTGTATTTCAGAATTCTTTCTACATCGGGGAATCAAACCAACGAAGCGGCATATGTATCAAGATTATTTAAATAAACCAAGTAAAACAATGACAACAAAAGTACACAAACTTTATGAACATACCTAGTATAATCGTTTATGATGTGCTATTAAGAACTGGTAAAAATACCCGTACAACGAAAAAACACGCTATTTAAATGATAGTTTGAAACCAATCGGATCATCTCGCCTATTAGTGAATTTAAATCAAACATTTTGTCCTACTTAAGAAAACAACAAATTCGAAAACAATTAAAAGTGATGCTATTATATATTTCCGTCGGTATTTGGAGAGTTTTCCCCCTTTGCTTGCTAATTCTAGGAACGTTCGGTAACGTTATATCCATTGTCGTTCTCATGAAACGCAAGAACCGTAACTCTAGCATAGCCAGATATCTGACTGCTCTTGCTATAGCCGATATTATCGTTCTTTGGGCGGCGCTACCTCGAAACTGGCTGTACAATGGCTTTGGCGTGGAAATGAGAGAGTATTCAACTTTCATTTGCAAAATACAACTATTTTTGTTGTATTTTGGAACTCAGGTCTCCTCTAGCATGGTAGTCATGGTAACTTTTGAACGGTTTATCGCCACGTGGTTACCATTTAAAAGACAGACCTTATGTTCAAGTCGAAGAGCAACTATCAGCATTGTGTTCGTTACAGCATCTATTGCTCTGCTCAACATGCATGTCATTTACGGTATGGGCAAAAGAAATGGACGTAACTGCTACCCAATCAACGACAGTTACGCACGATTCTTGTTGAATGATTGGCCAAAGATGACAATAATAATGTTTGTATTTACTCCACTAGTTATTCTGTTCACTATTAACATTTCTATTGCTGTTCGACTGTTTTTCGTGCGAAGAAATGCGAGAAGATCCGTTTTTCCTCTGGGTATAAATCAAAGTGAAAATGCCAAGAAGATAAAAAACCGTCAAACCACTGTCCTGTTGGTAGCACTCAACATTGTGTACATGATATGTTACACACCAATGACAATGTTCCTAGTTATGCACAGTGATTGGATCCTGTCACGTGGTTATGAAACTGTTCCACCTAACGCTGTAATGGAGATGAGCTGGTCAGTTATAAATGTTCTGTTTTATACAAATTATTCGGTCAATTTCGTACTTTATTTCCTTAGAGCAACATCATTTAGGACGGATGCGAGGAACCTTTTCAAGTCAGTGGTACGTTGTCGATCCATACACTAGGATGAAAATATTGTTCAAAGATAATTAAATTAATTCTAGAAAAGAATGCATGTGTCAAGATCCGTAAAAAACGTCGATGAAATCTTGACAAAAAAATCTTTTACAAAGATCAAAAAGACAAAAAGCAGACGTGCGCGCGTAATTGGACCAAAGATTACATATAACTTAACTCCAATAGCGTGTCCCGTTACATTATGTCCCTGACGAAGAGGAAACATTTACAAAAGGGTCACGTTTCGATATATACCTTTTTAACGTTAATATATATGTAGATATTAGATCAGCATTTTTGTATATTGTTAAATCGGAAATATGCAAAGAAGCTATGAAATAAAAATTGGTCAACAAGGACAGAACAGTTAAAGTGGCTGTATAACTAGCTTCTATAATTATGATATACATCTTTTAGGTGAGGAGCCAAAAGTATTCCTAAAACGATTTTATAACTTCTTGTCTCTTAAAGATAGGTAAAAAGTTAATACATAAGAAGTTGTTACTAAAATCTCTTATTCCTTACGATATCCAAAGACAGAATATAAATTACAACCTTTGCAGAGCGATACCCTAGGGACGACAGAGATTTCGGTCGTTACTGAGTTGCTATGGGGTGTTTCTCTACTGGCGTTTCATTTATTTCTACTCAAGAAAAACGGAATCCCTACCATTCGCAGAAAAACGGCAAAATTGAAAATGGTGCAAGGTCGGTTTGATCGTGTCTATTCAAAAGAAAAATGCTGTTGGTTGTAAAGAGGTTATTGGTCTACTGAGGGGCATTTTTCAGAGATAGACTGTATATTCATATGTGTTAGATTATGACATTTCTTCATTTCTGACAGTCAACGTTTAATGATTTAAATTATAAAAAATGATTTTCAATTACAATGAATTTATGTTGATATTGTGATTGTGCTGCAACATATTCTGGTTTATAAAGTAATTTATATTTCTGCACGTTTGTAATGTCGCTTTTTATTGCCTAATCGTTATATTATTTGTTATAAAAGATTTTGAACCAGATCTGCTAGCAGTCTATGTAAGTCTATAATCATGTCACTCTTGACAAATATATTTTGTGCTCTTTAACGCACATTTGACATTCTTAATGCAAATTATCACTAATTTAAGCATTTCTTTACTTCTATGTATAATCATTATTTAGTAAAATTGAGAAAACTTGACTGGTTGTCTTTAATCTTTTTATTAAAGTTTTCAAAAGAACAATTGTCACACGTTGTTAATGTTCACGGCTAGTATTTATTTACGTAGATAGCCGTGTATAGTTTGATTTGTTTCAGGGTTATGTCTCAAATCACGGTTTTTTCATTGGTCAGTGCACATTCTGTGTCATGCAGTTTCTGACAAATCAGATATTTAAAATCCGACTTTGTGCTATAACCTTTGAAGACACATTTTGATATCTTATTCACTATGTTTTGTTGCAAGAAATAATTCGGCATTGTTAAATGTAATATATACTTATCAAAATAACAATTTTTTAAGGACTTTGAGTTGGTAAGGACTTGGCCGAAACATGTATTTTGTTGTATCAGCACATTGTACTTAAGTGTCCAAGCTCTTGTAAAATCCAGGAGAGGATATACTGATCAATACATAAACAAGTTGCAAACCAAAGACTCAAATTTTTCTCGTTCTTTGTCTTCCATCAAATATAAAGATCTATTCTTGAGAAAAGATGTAGCGGAAAGATCTAATACTAGTATTACTTAACGCAAGAAAAAAACACACAACCAGTTGTAACAATATTTATATCTTTATTTACTATAAAATAATACTGCTCGGTACAACAAATAATAAATAAAGCGTTTGTTTAATACTAAAATATATAGTGTTTAACAACAGATTTACCCTATTCTGACATTTGAAATATTTCCTAATACTGATGATGCGACTAAAGTGAAGTATAATTGTACATACATAATTTATAAATTAATGTTTTTTATAAAAAAAAAATTGAAGTAAAACGTCACATTTTATGTGAATTTACAACATATCTTTCTCTCTAAAAATTCCAAATGTACACTAACCATCTACATACATATATTCCATATCATTATTATTTTACAATTTTTCCAGATAATCTCCAACGCAGTGATCTCCCCTTTTCAGAACAATATGCCAAGGGAAGTAATCACTGTGATGATTAAAAAGAAGCCTACAGGCAATAAGTTTATACAGCAATATTTATACAGTATTTTTTGTCTTGAAGGTTAATTCTAATATAATTTATATAGGTTACCCTAGCATGCGTTTCATAATACAGACATGACGAAAAAAATAATTAAAAACGCTTTCAAAAACAGTGTGCTATTCAGAAATAGTGTATCGAAATAAATTATTTCAAACAATCTTATTCCTAAAAAAAAATTAAGTAAAATAAATGAAATCTTCGTTGTAAAAAAAAACGTGTAGAATCGATATTGCCGAAAATACAGTTTTCAGTTATTTGATTTATAATATCCATTAAAATAAGACCTGGTCATAAAGTTCTGTTTACATAGAGTCTTAACATATTCAGAAGAAAAAAATGCATTTCCAATTTCTGCTTCTTTATCTCTTTAACTGACGTAAATCATAATTAAACTATTATGAAAAGATAGCGCAATTTCTTATACACATACATTTAGAATAAAAAGAATGTTTAAGATAAAATTTAGTATACAAACACCTTGAGCAATGCTAAGTTTTTAAGACCAGAAACTAAGATAGAAACCACAAACAAGAATGTTTACAAATAGTACTAATTTTTTACGAATACGTATATGAAAGAAAATGAACACACACAAATTTGATTGCAGCACGCAAATGACAAAAAAATGGAATCGAGGCTGACTGTAGAGGGCGCTAGTGGAGCTTAAAGAGTCGGTTGGTCAGGTGCATATCATCAACGTATCTGTAAATAAAAAACAAATTTTGATTTGTTTAGATTTATCTCATATATCTTAATGAATAAAATTTGTAGGAAACGCTTTGCTTCTTCTTGAAGCAATTGCATACTACTGTTTAGGTATTCATTAAAAGTGATTAAATGGGTAAAGCATGACAGTTTCAATAATATCAAAACTTAATATCTCAAGATCTAAGTTCGATTTTTTTTATCTCAATAATTGCTAGTAATTCAATGCGAATGTTTATAGACTGTTTATAAAGTAAAAAGGAGGTACACTGTATTACGTTTTCAATGCCAATATCGGTCATGTGCTTCATTATTTCTTTACATAATTTACCTTCAATATATAACTACAATCTTTCCAAGAGGCCTGAATATACATGTTTATTACCCTTCCAGATTTTTTCCGCCTTTTTGATTGGATATTGATCACCCGAAAGAAATTGATATAACCGAGCCAGACGGGTAATATACACACTAAATTTCCCCGTTGGGTACCCAACGTTGTAAACAACATGCGCTGAGGTGATGCGCGTACGGTTCGATTTTACGCGGTGTAAAATTCCGATTTAAAAGCACTTTCTAACTGTCAAATGATAAATATTTACCAAAGTAGAGTAATGATACATATTACCATCAGTATCGAAAACAAACATGACCTTGTGAAAGCTTGATATTAATTACAAAAAAGTGCGTTCAATAGACTACTCCTTTTCTCTTGTTTACATTCGTTAGGTACGGGAAAAATATGTCATGTATTTATGTGACGTCATGTTGTGACGAAGAGGTACCCTATAAGGGAATCTTATTTCGATGTTTCATTTGAAACAGCAATGATTTTTTAAAAAGTCGTCTAAACTCGGCAGGGGAAGGGTAGTAAAATTATTATTTTGGTTTTGGAGTGATATATGTGGATATATTACCTGCCAAGATAAAATATCACCCTCGCCTAACGGCTCGGGTGATATAAAATCTTAACAGGTAATATATCCACATATATCACTCCAAAACCAAAATAACATATAATATATTTAGACATCACATAAAACAAACAAACAAGAAAACAAACAAACAAGAAAACAAATAAACAAACAAATAAACAAACAAGAAAACAAACTATCAAGTATATCATGCTTGTACTTAACTTTATAATATTTTGAACGTTACTGGTGTCTTTTCTTCTTTTTTTAATTATTATAAATATGTAAGTCGGAAATTAGAGAAAAAAGATACATTATAGACGGTGGTCATTCACACATGTTCGACGGTATTTATATTCATTGGTACAGGTTTTACTATATGCTCGGTCAGACCTAGAGAATATATTTGTTAAAAAAAAGTAGACCGTCTTAACTACAGTATACAATTAAAATAGAATATAAATGTTAGTTGATTACATTAACAAATATTTCAGTGTTCACACGCGGTGAGAAGATATATTAGCCGCGACACGACAAAACCAACATAATGCGTTTGCGACCAGCATGGATCCAGACCAGCCTGCGCATCCGCGCAGTCTGATCAGGATCCATGCTGTTCGCTTATCAACCCTATTACAAGTAGAGAATCTGATAGCGAACAGCATGGATCCTGATCAGACTGCGCGGATGCTCAGGTTGGTCTGGATCCATGCTGGTCGCAAACGCACTACGTTGGTTTTGTCGTGACGCGGCTCATATATACGTTTAATCAATCGTTTTATAAGATCTATGACCATTTATTACATGTTCTGCTCATGAATTATGTATATATAACAAGAGGTTATCTTAAATCCCCCGACAATCTGTTCACGATAATGTTAAAGACATTATTTGTACATTGATAACAACTAGATATACTACAGAAGTTCAATATGCAATAATCAATGTGTTTACATGTATGACAGACATTTTGTTAACAATACAAATAAAGATAGTATTTTAAATGGTTAAAAATTTGGTTAAGTAAACAATACTCCATGACACATTCATATTTAAGACTATTTAAACGAAAGGTCTTTTTAAAATTTAAACTGTTGATAAAATGACATATAATTGATATATTTAGTCGTATTTTGTATAATATTATATACATGTAGTTTATTCTCTGTAATACATTTTATACAGAGCTTTTAGTTTCTTTTTTTTTCTCAAAATGATGGATAAGGGTATGTTAAACTGTCGTGTCTGTTATTTAAGACACCTTTTATCTTTAAAAATCAACCAACAAACAAAATAACAATTAGTGGTATTCTTTGAGTAAAGATTTAATTATAGTCATAAAATGAACAAGTAAAGAAAAAGTGCAACTGTAATAAAAATATCTTTTATTTCTTATCTTACATGCTTCAAAGGGAAATGATGTTATATTTCCCACAGAAATAAAAAAAGTACAATCTACAGGATTGAACTCAATTGAGAATGCTATATTGAAAACCCGAATTGCCTTATACTCGTGGTTTTCATTTGGTATGTGCTTGTAAAAAGCAGGTCATTTTAAACTGAAAATGTTATAGAAAAACAGAAATGAAAAATGCGTTACCTGGTCATAGGGCTGTTCACTAACGGAAATCTTTTGGCCGGTCTATCAATACATAATGGAGGCAGGGAGTAACTGGTTCCCCAGCTTGGGGGATTAATTTTTCTGACACTTCCTTCAGAGGGGAGCATTTGTCGAAGAGTTGAGTAATCCTCACATCTGGTCGACTGATGAGATCTGTAGATTAAAGCCGAGGTGCTTCTCTCAAAACTTCTAAGTGGAGGGTCTCCGGCTGGCATCCAGTGACGCTCTGGCACGGGCAATTGCCTTGGCGCCAAGAGCTTGTGGCGAGGAACTGGAGCGCTTAAGCGTAAGTCGGTTGGAGCATATCTTTTAGTTATCCAAACAGTTTCAACTTCCGGAGCCTCCTGTTCTCCATCTAAAATTTCTTTTTCGCGTTGTTCTAAATCCTGCACATATTTACTATACGCATGTTTGTAAGCGCCAAACGCTCCCATACTGAGCGCCGCCATTTTGCCACTGTTGAGTTGTTATGGGCGACGTCTGTATCGTTGAACGCTCTCGCAGATTGTGACATAACGTCACAGTATTTATAACGCTTAAGTGCAGGTTTAAAGAATATCGAACCTTTAAAATCGATTTATTTAAACAAACTGTAGGGAAAATAGCATTTAAATCGTATCAAATTCTAATTTCACGCACTTACAATAGCGGAGATCGATATTAAAAGCGATCGTTTAAATATTTACAATAACGCTTAGCCACTTTATATGTATGCATTGTGTACATAATAAGTAATTTATTATTTAAAAAATCGAAACAATTACTATCAGGAGGTATGCAACTAAAAAACAAAAACATTTTTGTTATATTAAATATTTAATTTTTTTTTTAATTCATGCTTTTATCATTTTAAAATTGCTTTAAAAACAATTTAAACCGGAGTTGAATAAGAGAAATAGTAACGAACTTGGCGACGAATTTACAAAATTATTTCTCTGAAAATTTGTGTGTTTTTTTAATCTTTTTTATTTGTCAAAAAGTTATTAACACTAATTAAGCGCTCGGTAGTTTATTTATGTAGTTTGCCCAATTCTGTCAATTAAATTATACTTTAGACACCTTAATTCAACAAAACTGCTTCCAATATACAGCTTTAAAAATCCATTAGATCTATTATCCGCTACGTTTTTTGTATTGTTTTGTAAAACAGAGAAAAAAAAGACACATTTTTTTTTAAAGATTCATGTTAATTTTAAATACAGCGGAAATTTGGAGGGATATGTTAAGCAACAGTAACTGAAACGAAAATGTTTTCATTGATTTTTGTATAAACGTTTCACGTTGTTTACTGTCCCACGGATTTATATTAAAATCCGTGACTGTTATAAATATAAATGTTCATGTCTATATATGAGCGTACATAGTGGTTATGATTTTAATATACATATACATTGTAGATAACTATTTTTATTTGGTCAGACCTAATTTATCACAAATATATACATATGTCTATAACGTAGGTACTTTTAATACCATTAAATGTAAATACTTTATCCACGTACACTTAACTTATGATAGACTTGAAGTTAGGTCATTATTGAAGTAAGACTTAAACATAGTGACACGTTTTATCGACCATTTAACTTTACCACTTGTCTCATTGGTAAACTTGAATCTTATATCTTACAGCGATCGTAAGGCCCCGGTGGCGCAATCGGTTAGCGCGCCGTACTTATAGACAGTACTATGATATGCGGAGGCTGTGAGTTCGAGCCTCACCCGGGGCACTTCTTTTGTAGTGCTTATTTAATTCAAATTACACGTCTTCGATCACCTACAAAATGACTCAGTGATGACTAATACCACCGGAAATAGTAACAGATATTCGTATTTTTCGACTTTTACTTCAACTTTACTGACTTTTCCGGATGTATGATACACTGCAGAATATTTGAAAAATTGTCTTAGTCTTCTGTAGCCAAATTTCGAAAACATTCCAAAGTATTCCAATTTTGTTCTTCAAAACCTATCTCCAGTTAGCCCCGGTGGCGCAATCGGTTAGCGCGCCGTACTTATAGACAGTACTATGATATGCGGAGGCTGTGAGTTCCAGCCTCACCCGGGGCACTTATTTTGTAGTGCTTGTTTATTTCTAATATTACGTCCTCAATAACCTGCAAAATGACTCAGTGATGAGTCTGATGACTAATACTCCTTGTAATTGTAATAAATATATATGTTTTTTACTTTCATTTACATTGCTAAATATTTACTGATATTTCCGGATGTATGATATACTGCAGAATATTCTTAGTATTCTGAGACATTCCAAAATATTCGAATTTTGTTCTCCAAGACCTACTTACAGTTAGCCCCGGTGGCGCAATCGGTTAGCGCGCCGTACTTATAGACAGTACTATGATATGCGGAGGCTGTGAGTTCGAGCCTCACCCGGTGCACTATTTTAGTTCTTTAAGATTTGTTTGCCTAAAACATAATATTATTGCTCTCATTTTTGTGGTAGAATGATCTATAGGTGTAGTATTTGTGTCTAGTAAAACTGTAAAGTAGCTTAAACTAATTTTATCAAATAATATGCTTCCCAATTCCTCTGAAAAGTTAATGTAAAAGTAGTCGTAGATCAATTTATACATATGCTGATAGGGTCTGTAACTTTATTCTATAAAGAAAAACAAAGATTCATTGTTTATCATTTCTATTTATCATTCCAAAATTATCAAACCTCTCAAAATAGACGTACATGTAGTTATTTATACCCCAGGTCCTTCCGCGCAAGGTACCTAGTAATAGAAAGAGCATCGAAACACGAGGCTATCTGATCAGATTGCTGAGTGTTTTGATGTTCTTTCTCTTTTGTATCGTAGCCAACATAAAAACACGTTCCCTGATAAAACCCCAGAAAAAGTAACCACTGAACGTCTGAATATGATATTTCTATCGCCTTCTCTTTCTCTGCCGTCACAATAAGTAAACCCCAGCAAAAATGAGCCAATCAATGGGCATGCTCTGGAGTGTGGGTAACTAATACCTGCACTCCAGTTAACGCGCACTGTGCATGTATATGTATACGATTTAACTCTGCCACATTTTCAACAGAAAGGTCCCCAAACTATGATACAATTTATAATTAGAGATCATATGAGGATATAAAACCATCAAATTTTATGTTTTGCCTGAAACACGTAGAATATTTGTATCTAAAGTAGAAATATTTGAAATAATGATAAACCGAATGGCGCCTGCGCGAATCCATCGCTAGATCCACTGAAAACATCATTGATAAGGAGCATTTTATCTGGAAAGACGTTAAAGATTTCAGTTCTTAATTGGCAAAAGATACCAAAGTGAAATAGTCTAATTGTGTAACACAGATATTACGGAGGCTTAGAGTAATCACAAGTCTTCAATCAAAGGAGGACTCTTATGCACAGGTTCTTTTAGTCATCAAACACTGCAATATCTTCAGTTTTGAAGAGCGTTTAACGCTCAAAACAGCATTACTGGCATGCGAGCAGTTCCCGTACAGAAGCAGTACCCGTATTTTTCATTTAAACGCTTGATTTTTACATGCATTCTTCAAAAATTCATTTCAAATCAAGCAGATACATAAACGAGACAAAATGTAAGTGTCAGTTCGGCAGTACGTATAAAAAGTCTCATTTTAAATCACTTTCACCTGTGCCTTGTCAAAACGTGACCTTGTTTTATTTGGGGGATTCCGTCCTTGCGCGCATGCGCAAACATACTTACACATGAGGCATGTTAAAGGGTTTTCCACTAATACCACCTGGTTACAGATAAGAAGGCAATGTGATAAAAACATGTTTCATTATCAGAATTTTGACCAATATTAAAATCCGGGTAATAGAGGGTAATAGATACCAGCGTTTAGTCTACGCTCTATTTCCTGAATTACATTTATTTATCTCTTAGAAAATGGTCTGTTCAACAATTATAATTGAAAAATAGGTCCGATATAATAAAATTGTATTATTATAATGGGTTTAATTTTATGTACGGGAACTACTTCTCTTCATACAAAATAATGGATAATTTCGGTACCCCATATGAGGCCTCATAACTAAGGGTTATTCTATGTTAAGAACATGATGGAATTTCCATGATTTGTGTGACGAGCCGAATATTGATGTATAACATTCAAATTTTGGTGAGTGAGCGTAATAAAAAATAATGTTTAAGTAACTACGATTTTTGTACGGGAACTGCTCGCATGCCAGTATGGGACTGAATTGTATTATCAATAAAAGTCATTTTTTTAAAGCTTGTACATTTCATATATCACTACTGTCTGCACCGACAGCCGGTATTTGATTCTTTTTCTTGCATATTACATATCAATTATTTTCAGAACAGAAATTACGAAGACTGATATTTTCATTACGCACCTTTTTCTTATAGTAGCGTATGAACTTACATCTGCATTCATAATGGTTAAGTGACGTCATCCTAAGAACGCAATTCATTCATAAAAGGCGCGCGTCAATGACGTCATTTAAAGCACGCGACTTGTCTTACGTGGGGGATGTAAGACTATAAGAATCTTACACCGGCTGCCGGTACAGACCGGAATATCTAACTCGAGGGTAACTGTTTACAGCGGTAACGCCGCTCTGCCGAGTTTCCGCTAAACAGTTACCCGAGAGCTAGATATTCACGTCTGTACCAACAGTCGGTGTTTGATTCTTTTTCTTGCATATTACATGTCAATTATTTTCGGATCAGAAATTATCAAAACTGATATTTTCATTACGCACTTTTTTCTTATAGTAGCGTATGAACATACAACTTCATTCATAATGGACAAATGACGTCATCCTAAGAACGCGATTCATTCATTAAAGGCGCGCGTCAATGACGTCATTTAACGCACGCGACTTGTCTTACATGGGGGTGTAAGACAGAGTTTTTTCTAGCACCGGTGTAAACTGTAGATAATCCTGTCTGAGATGCAAGAAATAGAGGATATTTGTTTAGTTCAGTGTAAGATCGGAATTTCTTGCATCTCAGACAGGATTATCTACCGTTTACACCGGTGCTAGAAAACTCTGTCTTACACCCCCCCCCCCATGTAAGACAATTCGTGCTTTAAATGATGTCATTGACGCGCGCCTTTTATGAATGAATCGCGTTCTTAGGATGACGTCATTTGCCGTTATGAATGAAGTTGTATGTTCATACGCTACTATAAGAAAAAAGTGCGTAATGAAAATATCAGTTTTGATAATTTCTGATCCGAAAATAATTGACATGTAATATGCAAGAAAAAGAATCAAACACCGGCTGTTGGTTCAGACGGGAATATCTAGCTCTCGGGTAACTGTTTAGCGGAAACTCGGCAGAGCCTCGTTACCGCCGTAAACAGTTACCCTCGAGCTAGATATTCCGGTCTGTACCGGCAGCCGGTGTAAGATTCTTATAATATTTCACCGAGTGAGCACCAAAAGATATATTTCACGAGTGGCGCAGCCACGAGTGAAATATGAACTTTTGGTGTCCACAAGGTGAAATATATTTCAATCTTACACTAAACTAAACAA